GTTTATTGATGACTATTATTATTTTTCTGCATCTAGATGGAACTAGTATTAACAGTAACCTAGAGGATGAGATCGATCTAAACTCACTTGGAATGAGGTAACCAAAATATATTTGAGTCTGGTTGGTTTAAAGTTGGGGATGACCCTTGATAGGGTGAAGCAGAAGAACAGAATCCATGCCTACCTCAACTCAGAAGAGTTCTGTTAAGTTGCGGATGTAATATATGTTGAAGTTTTCCTTCCCTGGTGTAAATCTGATGGTTGGGAAATAACTAACAGAATTTAGCGTTTCTAATTCTGTATAAATAGTTCGACTTCATTTCATTTTCATTTTGTTTTTCTATCTGTAACGTGATTTCTTAAAAGCAAAGTCTTCTAATCTCAAGTTTGAATCTTGTTTTCCCAACTTAGGCTCCCCACATTTTGATGGGTACATCTTGGTACTCTGTGTTAGATGCCTATTCTTCTTTAAATGTGGTCTTACTAGAGAGATCTAATGCAGGGGAGGAGAAGCCTCCTATAAAATGGGAGACTCGGATGAAAATTGCTCTAGGTTCTGCAATTGGATTGGCATATCTGCATGACACCAGTGAGTTTTTCCACACACAGTTTTCTTTGTTATCAGCTATATATCTTTGTTTTCTTCGTGCTCTTCTTCAATAAATGTAGTGTAGTTTCGAAATCACTTAAATATGTTGAAGTTTTTTATATGTGCAGGTCAACCCAAGATTATACATCGTGATATCAAGTCTCCTAACATCCTTCTCGATGACAATTTTGATGCCAAGGTATCAATATATGTGTTTTATTCTTTTTACCACTCACATGTCATTCCAATAATACTATGCTATAAATACATTGCGCTCTACCCAAGGCTTTTGTTGAGCAGTACAAGAATTATGTAATGATCACGAATGAGAAGAACTTTTAGTTAAGTACAAACCTTATTCCCAATCTATTGGGTTCGACTAATAAATCCATTTTCTCCACTTTATCTGTCGATTTACTAAAGATCCAATAAAGTCAAATTATTTTCAACAACGTCAACTCATATTAATTCTTCTTCCTCTTCTAACTTCTTCTATTGGGATTATATTACTCCTATGTATATGCAAGACCTGGTTTAGAGGAATGCATCAAATATCAAATGCCTGGCACATTCTCATTTATTTTTGTGCGTCAATCTGGTTTAAGTCAATGCGTAAAATGTCATATGCCAAGCCTTCATTTAAGGCAGGGAAGACAAATTTCTTCCTTTTCCTCTTTGTTGTTTTTCACCTTTCTACCTCATTCACTGGGAGTTTGGAGCTCTATAAGCAAAAAATTGTTGCGTTTTGTTTGTTTGCTTGATTTAGAGAAGTGGGATATGAGAACAAATGAATGTGACAAATTCCAATTTCGATTCGAAAGCACTATTTCTTGGTGAATAAACCACTGTTTGTGTGCTTTTTCAGGTTTTAGTTAGGTCGAATTTGGTTCACTTACGTTATTATTAACGTAATATTTGCTTACTGATTATTATCCTAGTCTTGAATTTACTATGTTTTATGGTAAATCAATACTTAGCTTCCAGCATCATGTACTTAGGTAGCAGATTTTGGGCTTGCTAGGTTCTATTCTGACACTGATACTCATGTCTCTACCCGTGTTATGGGAACCTTTGGGTGAGCTTCCAGAATGTCTTTTTATCATTCAGATATTGTAATTTCTATGTAGTTACATCCTTGAATGTTATACTAGAGCTATAATCTAATTTTAAAATAATACATTTGAGTTTGACGAATCTTATGATCGGATCTTGTTAATTCAAACATATCTCGACACTTGCAGTTATTTAGCTCCAGAGTATGCGCTGACTGGGAAACTGACATATAAGTCTGACGTCTTCTCCTTTGGAGTTGTGCTTTTGGAGTTGATCACTGGACACAGACCAATTGATAAAGGTCAACCTTACCTTGATGGTAATATAGTTGATTGGGTGAGCCTATTTCATCACTACATTTTGGTTTTGTACAATTGAGAAGGTTTCCTCTTCTTTATGTGGAAACAAACCCATTATTCATTTTGTACTTTCCCCAAAGAACAGACATCTGGCTTTGAATTTTCCAGGCCTACCTGTACGATTGTGCAGTGCATCTCATTGCTTCATAATTTTACCAAAAGAAATATATTTTCTTCGTTTGGTTGGGACACTTTGTTATTGTTCAGTGACTTCGGAAAGGTAAACTTAGTTTGTCATTTATGTAGGCTAGGCCTTTGCTTACACAAGCTCTGGATACTGGCAACTTTGATAATCTAGCTGATCCTAGGTTGCAGAAGAATTATAACTCCACTGAGATGGCTCGTTTGGTTACTTGTGCTTCCGTATGCATTCGTCATTTGGCACGACGGAGGCCACGAATGAGTCAGGTACATCTGATATGTTAGCTTAGCATCTCGTAAGCTCACTTCTTAAGTAACTTTTTGCTTTCAAACATGTTATTCTAAAAAGGACTCCTTTACTAACTCTTACATCACAATAACTTCTATGATGCAGATAGTTAGAGCTTTAGAAGGAAACATATCCCTGGACGACTTAAACAATGGTATTCGACCTGGAAACAACGCAATATATGATCCTCACGGGAGCTCAGATTTTGAAACCACATATGATACCTTTCAGTACAAAGAGGACCTGAAGA